TCATAAATTTTTAATATATTTCAATTAATAATTTTATTGTCATTCAGATTTAAATGCATAAAAATTGGGGAATATTTTATGAAATTTTGCAAAAAGAAAAAAAGAAAAAAAAAGTAAAAGCTAATAATCTTTCCCGCAATAAGAAAATAATGATACGTGATTCTAAGTTCGTAATATTACAGTAAACGTATATTTACATGTTTCATTTGGATTATAAAAAGAAAAAACAAATCCAAATCTAATCGGATCTCTTTTTCTTTCTCAATTGTTACACTCTTAATTTATATTGTTCTTTTCTTATACTAAATCACATTAATTGTTTATTTTCAAAGTTTTTCATTAGAAAAAATGATTTTATAATTTTTTGATATACGTGATAGCAGCCGTGTGTGGAAGATCAGGTGAGAAAACAGGTTTTCCATTTTCGTCGAGGTAATCGGAATAATTAATTTGAAATATCGCTTCGAAACCAAGTCGTTCGCATAATTTCCCAGAAAACATCGACGAACAATCGGCTCGCATTATATCGAAACCATGTTCTCTTGCGATTTCTCTGAAAACACATGAGCAAAAAAACAAAATTATAATAAAATCTAATTTGACACTAGTAAAAATAGATCAAAAATTATTGAAACATTTTTATACCTTTGTTTAATATTAATTTATATAACGTTTCTTTTTTTGGTTTCTTAATGAATTAATTATATACTCACGTAGTATTTTCGATGAGAGCCTTGGCAATACCCTTGCCTCTCCAATTAGTGTCAACGGAGATTATTCTAATTTCTAATATATTTTGATTTCTAAATTTTCCATCCGCGTTTACTTTTTTATCGACATAATGCAAAAACCTTAATATTTTTCTGAATTTTAGATTTTCGCAATTGTTTATGTACTCCGGTTCTTCCTCTTCGCAGGGATCCATTTTTCCTGTGCAAAGAAAAGCGCATCAAATTTTTGTATTAATTAATAAACAGCATAACTATTTCATGTCTATGTTGGTGGATTAAAAAAGTTTCTAATTAGTTTTTTTTTTTATAAGGTCAACGTTCAAAACTTGTCAATTAACTCTCGTATATATTTTGAATAAATTTGATAATATTCATCTTTTTTTTTTTTTTATGATATAGGTACGACACTCATGCACACACACACACACATACGCGCTCGCGCGTACAGAGTGTATTAATAAATTTTATCATAAGACAAATATCTCTATGTTATTTTTGTTATTTTCATAGAAAACAAATGTTCAATGATAATCTAAATTTTGTTACTTCATTAGACAGAGATTCATCGATAAAAAGTTTTTTTAAAGATCATAAAATATATATATCTATATATATATGTATATATATATACACACACACACACATGTATGAATATATAATTCTCGTAAAAAGAATAACAAAGAAATAAATAACATAAAATGTTAATAAGAAATTAGAATTGATACCAATTCTTAGCATTTCTAAGAATCGTTTTCAACGATTCATTTTATCATCTAGACGTTTACGTAGCAAGAGTTAATATTTTAACTAACACAAAGAAATACGACAGGCTAGATTTAAGATAACGATTTGAAAGATCCCTTCTCCGCGATAAAGAGCATTGTTTTTCCCGACACCTTCATTACAACGTTCAAACCCACCATTTAAACCCACCATTGTTATTTAATACTATTTATTTTTTTTCCTTCTCCTCCCTTTATCGAGATACTCATTTGAATATTTCTAAATAATGAGGGTATCTATTTTCCGATAAATAAGATTCGTAGTTGGCGAGTATATGTCCATATACATATAGACATACACATATATGTGCATTTGTTGCGTGTATGTTGGCGGCATTATGCATCGAATGCATCTAGATGAAAAGAACCGTTAATTAGTTTCCGACACGCTATTCTATGTTAAAAATCGAATATCGTCTATCGATAAAACAAAATTAACAAGAAAAGAAAAGAAGTAAAAAAATGCTATTGTAAAACGTTTAGTGCTAATGCTTAACTGTATTAGAATCTGTATATCTTAGAAACGGTGGACGTTGGTAATCATTATTTCCAATGCCGCAGATCTCGTGTCATTATCTTTGACGTTCGTGGCGTTGAAAATTCTAATCGTGTGATCAGAGTGATTTGCTAATCGGTCTGTTATTGAATCTATGTAGGAATTAACTTTCAATAATGTAATGTACGCCTATAATAACATATTATACGATATAATCTTCCTTATATTTTTTGGATTTTTTTTTCCTTTTTTTCTTTCTTTTTTTTTTTCTTTTTTATTTTTACACATTTTTATCTCGCAATCGTATTCTTTGTTGAAAATTCTAATGGCGTATAAAAATGATCTGTCAATTTTTCTGTTATTAAATGTCTTTTGCACGCTGAGAAAATTATAGAATTATATAAACTTTATATTAATAGGACTTTATATGCCGTTTGGTGTATACTTATATCGTCGAGTTTTTATTTTTATTATTTGTCGTCGTTTATGGATTTTTTTTCGATAAATTCACATTTTTCCCATTAGAAATTCTAATAGCGTATCGATATTAATTTATTACTTTTTGCATAATTGTGAACACGGATTTATTTCAAAATTATATTTAAAAGCGTTTAAATACACTCGCATGTCTAATTGTAATTAATTATACGATCTTTTAAAATGATCATTTTGAGATATATTAATTTTTGTTCTTATTCATCTCATTGAAAATGTTAATTCTTATATAAGAACGATTCGATATATTTTTTATGCCATTGAGTTTGTAAAAGAACTCAACCTTATGATTTGCATACGTTTATTTAGTACGTTGTATATATTTTGTATGTAATAGATACATTGTTGTATCTGATATGTATTTATTATACATTAATTTTTTTTTATCAATACAAATCTTAGATTAAATAAAAACCGATCTAGACAATCTCGACGTCATTGAATTTATGCGAAGATCAATTTCTCAAAATAGCATACATTAAACTTTGTGATTAATTATGCGATCTGATACGCGTTCGTAAAGAAATATTTTGAATGAAAAAAAAAAAGAAAAAGAAAAAGATCTATTATTAAAATAATGTCCCGTTAGAAATTCTAATTCTATATAAGAACGAATTACAATCAACATTGTGTTTTATAGAAAGTATGCAAATATCAACATTGATAATGGCATACACTTTGGTAATACGTTATACGATCTCGAATATCTAACAATTAAAATAATACATTGTGTTAAGACTGTTCTTATCATTCTATTAGTTCGTTCTGTTTCTTCATTCTTATATTTGCGCATAAATTCATAAAGATACACGTTGCACACATGTTGTATGTGCATATACACAAATGTAAACGTATATTCATAACGCGTGTGTTCACATAACAATATGAATGATGAGAGAACACGTTGTACGAACTTATAAATTCATTTATTTATATAACACGTGTGTATGCATAACGCGTTTTGTTAAAACGATGAATACACACACACACACACAAACTAAATTCATTTATTTGTATAACACGTTTTTGTGTGCATATATACGCATTTTGTTAAGACGACGAATACACAAAACACAGACATAAATTTTCACAAGAGTTTATTATGTATCGTATGGTTACGTTGATAAAAAAAAAAAAGAAAAACACGTTGAAAATATTTGTAAACTCACCGTTTAACAAAACGCCAATAATTGAACCGGTAGATGATATAGCCATTAAACTTAAATTATTGTCAAGGGATGAATCTCTGCAATAATCTTCCAACTCGTAACAAGTGCTGTCTTCGCCTTCCGGTATTAATGCGACAGCTTGATTAAGAGGTTCGTCACGGAAAAAAAACCTCCTGAGGAATTTCAATACCCTGTGCTCGTCGTCCCTCGTTATTATTTTAATGTGATAATCCATGGCGGTGTTCATCACGGAATCACCGGAATCCGCCAACTGAAAATAAAGATATTATTGAATGATCATTTTGGTATTATTGCATTCTCAAACAGAAGATAAAAACCATCCCGCGTTCGCTGATACGATTGATAATTTTTTCTCTTTATTTTTTTTTCATTATCATATATTTTTTTGTAAATTCCTCGTATAAACCTTAGATTAGTCAATATAATTAATGTTGACATATTTTATATTTATTATCTGATTAAACAATATAATATAATATATATATATATTATTAGTACAGGACGTTACAAAAGTTATTTAATGAATTAAACATAAAGTAATAAATTTGGTTAGTTTGACAGTTATTTTGAAATATAAGTTTTATACTTTTTTTAACAATACCAATTAATGATTCATATCTTGAAATAATATTCTGTAAAACTCCTATAATATAATAACACATATATACAATAGTGTTTGCATATAAGATGATTAAAAAGAAAAAAAGAGAAAGGGGTTTTAATTAAGTTTCATTATTTATGAACATTCGATACAGTGTAAAACGAGTCATTTAATAATATATTTAATCTAAATATAGGGGGAATATATATATTTACATAGAAATATATATTATAATTCAAGATTGTCAAAATAAGTTTATTAACAAAAATGATTTCATAAATGCAAATATAATACTTACAAATAATATACATTCGATATATCTTTCTGCCATTTGAATGCAATTTCGATATCTACGTACTAACACTTTCAAATATTTCTTGAACTAGAATACTTCTAAGCAAATTCCTTTGTGTACAGTCAATACGTTACCAAGAAACTGACTTACGATATCGAACCGGTCATAAATAATTGTACTCGATTTACAACGAAATGATAAATTTAAAAATAACCCACGTTAAAAGATAGACATTTGTAATTCGTCTTCTTGACGTGTACTATAAATCCAATTATTGTTTTGTTTTAATCAATCTTTATAACAATAAACAAAATATATGGATACATTTTTCAAACGTATAAATATATTCTGCTGTTTACAATTATACACGAATATAATATCGAATCGATCCGATAAATAATTTCGTAACGTGTTCAATTTATTATTTATCTCATTGCCTCTTAAACACATAATAAATAAATATTTTTTTTAAATAAAAGTTCCTATCCTGTTACTCATTGGGACTCAACCCAATACGATATATCAATATATATATATTGAGTAAAATATACATACACACATAAACGATATGTGCTTTCATTATAAATACAATTGTTTCGCAAATAAGCGGATAAAGCAAGCGTGTATAACATTCGTCATATTCTTTTTAGCTTGTTTTTTCGCTTGGAGAATTCAATTAACGTGTTTTCACACGCGACATTATTCTTATTGTTAATAATAGTGCGTTAGTATCATCGTGAAAATTGACACGTACGTTTCGTTTTTCTCGTGCGCCGCCGCACGTATGTGTGTGTGTGTATGCGTGTGTGCGTGTGTTATGTGTGTTGCGTGTGTCTCCTCTTCAGTGTGTATTTCCTTTTCTTTTCTTTTCTTGTTTTTCTTTTTTTTTTCTTCTTTATTCTTTCCTTTTTTTATTTCGCCACTTCTTCGTTTCTCATTCCACTTTTGTTTTTTTATCTCTTTAGATCATGCTCCTCGTTTGCGCCCGGTCAACGGCGTCTACGGCGTATCTATTACTTAGAATTAGATCAATCAAACTAAATCGTCATTGATCTAGTTTTTTCCCTTTTTTCTCAACGATTTGTCCAAATTTTTCTAATACTACTTATTTTATTTTGCAATCTTTGTAAATCACATTTTTTTTCTTTCTCTTATATTTTTCTTTTCTTTTCTTTTCTTTTCTTTTTCGTATTATTATTATTATTATTATTTCATATTCACCGAAATTACTTCTTATCTGTTTTATCGTAAACAAATAAACATTTTTTTGGTTTTATTGTTAATTAAATATTAATCTTATGATACGCAGAAAAAAACGAAATGACGTGACATTTTTTATTTGTACGAAACATTTTGATATTTGACGAACATTTGAAGAAGTAATTTATCGATTAGATGCTTGAATAAATCGTCAAGCATATAATACAGAAGATATTGTGAAATTATTTCGATTAAATAATCGTTAGAATTATAATGTTACAAAAAAAAAAAGAAGAAAATGATTCGTTAGCTAACAACGATTAAAATTTGGTCTCGTCTATCTGTTTATCCAACATATATGACATAACTAAACAATCATTATTATTATTATTATTATGTCATTAAATACGACTATATGCATGGGGAAAAATAATCGGTTTAAAAATTATACTTAATTATTGATAGTCTATAAGTATGAGCTAAGAAATACACAATAGGATTACTCAATTGGTTTCATAAAAGAAAAAATAGAACGAAATAATCGATTACGTTGGTATCATCCATTATATGCCGTAATAATCGATTATAAACATTTCTATAATATTTCTATGATAAGAACGTACGCGAATCGGATTCTTTCGAGACAATTAAATGGGTCATTTGGTATACCAATGTGTTCAGTACAATCCATTACCTTTCTCTTCGATAAAACATTAACCATTTAACTATTACAATGAATAATAATAATAATAATGAAGCAAATAAATATATAAAAATATAAACATTGAATGATCACATTACCGAATATCTCGTCATTTTCTTAGCATCGTTAGCAAAATTAGTTTTGCTCTTCTGTTCGATGTTAGATTCCCCAATTAGCGCCGTCTTGGACAACGTGTTCGCCAAAATGGTCTCCATGATTGATGAACTTGACTTTTTTCTTACTATTTACCGAAGACGAATACGCGCGTTTAATAAACGAACGATAGAAATGATTTGCTTATATTTTGTATTATTTTAACGTTTACTTATTCGTTCTTTTGAATTTTTAGAAAATACGTCGAACAAATGTTTTCCTTATTATAGTACGGATATAAAAGAGTTGAAATGAAAAAGAATGAAAAAAATGTTAATTGAATGTAAAATCGCGAAGAAAACCAAAATTAGAAACGTTTTATATTTTGTTTGTTTGTTTGTTATGTCGTCGGTTTATAAAATCAATTAAATACGATTAAGTTATTCGTTATATTATGCGTCGACGACGACGACGACGACGACAATGACAAAGACAACGACGACGATGTTGTCGTAGTGGTAATCTAACACTGTGCTTTGCGATAGGACGTCCTCCTTTCTTATATAGACGCTCGGTAACGAATGGCACAAGAACTGTTCTTACAGGTTCAGGGACAGATACGGAACTATGAATGCAGTTTAGGATGCCCGGATCGAGATCCGTGCCAATGTCATTTGCATTATGATATCTAAGGATCCTAAGTATTACAGGGTGTCCCATTTTATTTATATCCTAGTATAGTACAATATATATGATCTAAATAAATTATTATGATTACAAAATTAAAATCAAACTCTCATATTGGATTGTAATGTAATATATTTTCTTTTGGTTAGTTAGCATAAAAGGAATATACAGGGTGTCCCATTTTGTTTATATCCTAGTATAGTACAATATATATGATCTAAATAAATTATTATGATTACAAAATTAAAATCAAACTCTCTTATTAGATTGTAATATAATATATTTTCTTTTGGTTAGTTAGCATAAAAGGAATATACAGGATGTCTTATTTTCATCTTGGTCTCTAACAGGGGTTTTAATAAATTATTATGATTTACAAATTAAAAGCAACATTATCCATATTGAATTGTAATGTAATATATTTTCATTTGGTTAGTTAGCATAAAAGGAATATATAGGGTATCTTATTTTCATCTTGGTATCTAACAGGAGTTTTAATAAATTATTATAATTT